TTAGAGTTTCCCAATACTTTCTATGGAGAAGGCAATGGCACCCCACTCCAGTACTCTCGCCTGGAAAATCCCATGGACGGAGGAGCCTGGTAGGCTGCAGTCCATGGGGTCTCCGAACAGTCAGACATGGCTGAGCGACTTCACTTTCACTTTTATGCATTGGAGAAGGAAATGGCAACCCACTCCAGTGTCCTTGCCTGGAGAATCCCAGGGATGGGGTCGCACAGAGTCGGACACAAATGAAGTGACTTAGCAGTAGCAATACTTTCTACTGAATTTATATTCAGATAATTACATCTCTAACCATGAACTCCTTGAATCAATGTTGGGTTTCTAATGATTTGGTATAGGTAACTAATGCTTTGCAGTTAGTTGTTTTTTTTTTTTTTTTAAGAAATTATTGGATCTGAGCTGGGGGAGAGGGTTAGACATAAGAAAAGGGAAAAAAACACTCTTCAGCCATTAGCTCCCCAATCTAATATTATAATGGGTAGCTTCACAACACTCTAAAATCTTAAAAGACTCATTTTTATTCTAAAGCAACTAATTAGACATTCTTTTCAGTTTTTCTAAAATTTTACACATTTTAATTATATTAATATAAAGGTAATGTCCAACAGAATTTCCTTAGTGACACATTAATGAATATTTTTATAGTATTGTACTAACAAAAAATTAATGTTTAGAGCAAGATATATCTTAATTCTCCTTTTAAATAATCATACCACACCTGTTATAAAGAACTGTTTGCTTTGGGGAGCTATAAAAATCTTTTAAAACTTATCAGAGGTTTGATATTTTACCTTTTCTTTATTGAAATGTTAAAGAAAGGATTTTTTTTTTTTTTTTGAGAAACTGGTCCTGAAACTGTGGCTTTTATTTTAGTTGACTGGGAAGAATACACACTGTAGGACAAATAAGCGAGTCCTATCTGATGAAGGTCAATGATGGCTCAGTCCGGTGAATAATGATTTCATCAAATAGTGTACATCAACTAAATTTTGAGTAGTAGTGAAAATATGGTTGATTTTGTTGTTTCTAAGAATCTTAAACTAAGAAAAATTATAACAGAAATTTTAAAAATTCTCAATATCATAACAAAAAGTATATTCTTAACAATATTCATAGTGGGGAGATTGGAGACTGCCTATATATGAAAATGAAAGTCGCTCAGTCATGTCTGACTCTGCGACCCCATGGACTATATAGTCCATGGAATTCTCCAGGCCAGAATACTGGAATGGGAACCCTTTCACTTCTCCAGGGGATCTTCCCAGCTCAGGGACTGAACCCAGGTCTCCCAAACCGCAGGCGGGTTCTTCACCAGCTGAGCCACAAGGGACGCCTAATATGTGAAAAGAAACCACTAAATGAGCCTACCATTGCTCGTCTTCCCTATTCAGCTACCCATAATACAAAGAGATCCACAAAAATAATTTGTGCAACATTTAGGAAGTTTCAGAGTTGGTAACTACAGGGTAAGCTACATGAATCTCTATGTTCCAGAATCTATAAAATCAATCTATAAAGATTTGTATAAATTCCAGAATCTATAAAGTTTATCTTTCAGATAGAAGGAAAAAAAATCTTTAGTATTTTTTCCCTACCTTAGTCATGCCCTTTTAAGTTACTAAATTCTTGTGATTTATCATGCAGATTTTGTATTTAAAAAAAAAATATTAACACTATCAGGAGACACAGATACATACTTGTGTGTTTCTAAACAACAGTGACTTTGCCAGTGCAATCAGAACAAAAGTATTCAATTTGAGTATTAATACTCAAAAATATTAAATGTCTTTTAAAATACACCTATTAAGAGCATACATAAAAAACAAACAAAAAGGAGTGTATAACCTAAAAAACAAACCAGTCTAGTTTGAAAACAAGACATGGATTTGCTTAAAGGACCCATAAAAATGGTTTAAAGTTACTTCACTTTCAGAACAGAATAATAAACATACCCTTGAGAAACAAAGGCTAGCCTACAAACACAAGGAATCTGTCTTTTAGCTTTCATCTTCTCACTGCTAAGTTCGTGAGAGTGGCAGCAGTGTTATGTACCTAGCACTTCAAAACTTCTAGAGATAGGAAAAGGCCAAAGACCCGGGGGAATGTTACTTCTGCCGCTGCTGCTGCTGCTAAGTCGCTTCAGTCGTGTCCAACTCTGTGCGACCCCATAGACAGCAGCCCACCAGGCTCCCCCGTCCCTGGGATTCTCCACGCAAGAATGCTGGAGTGGGTTGCCACTTCCTTCTCCAATGCATGCTGCTGCTGGGGCTAAGTCGCTTCAGTTGTGTCCGACTCTGTGCGACCCCATGGACAGCGGTCCACCAGGCTCCCCTGTCCACAGGATTCTCCAGGCAAGAATACTGGAGTGGGTTGCCATGTCCTTCTCCTGAATGTTACTTCTAGGGCTCCCGTAATCAAGTCACTATTAACACAGATGCCCATGGGCAGCTGAGGCAAGCTCCCAACAGAGTCTGAACTAGAACTCACTTCATCTAGAAGGAAGGGCAAGCAGGAAGGAGATAATGAGAACTGTCCCAAATTTGGACCAAATTCCTTTTTCTCCTACATGATTTCTATCCTACTCAGTGAGGCTTTTGTAAATGATGTGCCTTGATTGAACAAATTTCTGTAGTAACAGATAAACAGAGCCATAAAATGGTCCACTCTCTTTACTTGTAAAAGGTTAAAACAAACATGAAACCAGTCTTTTAAAGTATTTCTTGTTATAGATTTTTTGACCCAGATAAGAGAAAGAGAGGAAATGGAAAGGAGAAGGGAAAGATTTAGATAATCAGGTGGGAAAGAAAAGAGTCACAGGTAAACATAAGTTATGATTGAATTCCTGGACTGAAAATCAGGAACCCTGGTTTCTAACCCAGCTCTGCCATTAGCTGACAACCGTGTAGGGGAAGAAAAACACTCTGAGGTTGTAGGGAGAAGAGAAATTTCTGATTATTCTTTTTGGAAATAGATTTGTTCAAAATTACACTACCTAGAGAACAGTAAAAGAGGGACAGTCCATGAAAGTTGTCACTTCAACACAATCTGAATGGGATTCTTCATACAACACTAGATATTTTAGATTCAGAAATGAAGGTCATAGTCTTTGCCTTGAAGGTGTTCAGCATCCAGTTAAGGTTTTGACTAAAGGCTAACAGAAAAACAGTCCTAATGTCTGATTCTGTCCTTTCGCAAGAATGTTATATGAAGGAAGCAACGATGCTTAGAATCTTGACATTCATATCTCAGAAATGAATCTTAGAGAAATTAACTTCAGGGGACCTAAGTTTACTGACTTTACACTCAGTGCTCTGATACACATGAAAAGTATATCATATGAATATTAACTAAGCCATATGAATGTCAACTAGCTATGTTCTCCAAAGCCCTGTTCAAGTCTAAAACTGCCTGATACCTGACATCAAAACATGACCAATAAATACCCACAAGTTCCTCAAAAAAAAAGTCAAAAAAAAAAAAAAAACCAACAAAATACCTACAAGCTTCACACACCTTAAGAGCTTTAAAAATATTGCCACTACTGGCTTTAAGTATGTCTCTTTGCACATATCTTTGCACAATTTGAGGCACAAATACACATTTCACTACTATATATGTTGTCCTATGAGTAAAACAGAGCTTCTCTGGTAGCTCAGCTGGTAAAGATTCTGCCTGCAATGCAGGAGATCTGGGTTTGATCCCTGGGTGGAAAGATCCCCTGAAGGAGGGCACTGGCAACCCACTCCAGCATTCTTGCCTGGAGAATCCCCATGGACAGAGGAGCCTGGTGGGCTACTGTCTGTGGTCACAAAGAGTTGGACACCACTGAACAACTAAACACACACATGACTAAAACATAATTAGGATTTCCCCAATCTTGATTTAAACAACTTCATAATTTATTTGTAAATGTACACAAGCATGAAAAAATAAAAGTTACTAGAGTAGAAATGGGAATAAGAAATACTAATTTCAATCAGAAAACTCTGTGAGTCTACAGATATGCACACTAATTGTATATCCTCTCAAACCTGAGACTCATTACTTTGTGTCTTTCTGGTTTTTGTCATGATCCCTGAAAAGGGAACAAAAACACAGAAGAAAGGAGAAAGAACTTTGAAAGGGAAGGTTTTCCAAGTTGGGAATACTTTCCTATTTGTCTAGAGACTTAAAAAAAAAGCGTGTCAAAATCTGACTCACAGGAAACTGCTTTTTCACTAAGGTGAATTAAGATGAGTATTTTCTAACGACATATTTATCCCTGTCAACGTCCCACTGAGAAACTGCAATGTCCAGCACCACAATTTAACTTGAAGACTAGCAGGACAAATCACATATACAACACCATAAAAATTTAACAGAAGTTGCCGAAAAAAAGTATAGGTCTATCTGGCAAAAGTGGGGAAAAGGAATTTTCTAGATAAAGTGCCATAGTAATTTGGTTTTAAAGGCTGGATCAAATTTTAAACACTAAACTGACGGTATTTTAATAAAGGCCACTGAAACAGGCTGTTAAACGAAACTCAACCACGTCTAATTTCAATAATTCCCAAACTACTCGAATGGGTTTAGACTCCACGCAAAGAGACTTCCCTTTCTCTTTCACAACCGCACCGGTACACACACACCCCGCACCACACCGCCACCCGCCCCTAAATCCCAACAGTATAGTACACGCGAACGAAGAAGGCTATTTCTCCGGAAGAGGCAAAACTGTAGATATGGCACTAGCACGCTGGCCTAAATTCACAGAAACCAGATGTGAATGGCAGGTACAGCGTCCAGCCCAGGGAAACACCAAGACTGGCTCACAACTTCTCCGATCCAGACGCACAACACAATGCAGACCTAGTTCCTGGTCCCTCCTGTAACAAATCAAAGCTCAATCCTGATGCCAGCGAGAGCCACGCTGAGGCTGCACTCACGTCGCTCTCCGCCCGCTCCCGGCCCCGAGCCCGCCCCGATCCCCGGCGTAGCCTGAGCTGTACCTGGCGAAGAAGTCGGCGAAGCCGCCGCTCCGTCGAGCCCGAGTCGAGGGCCCGCTAGGGCCCTGTTCCGCGGCCGGCAAGGACACCGGCGCCCCCGCCGGCGGCAGGTGGTCGCGGGCGCTTTGGCAGCGGCTCACCTCGAACGTATTCCGAGAGTTCAAGTGAACGTCAGAGAAATCGACGCGCGACTTGGCGCCGGAGCCCCCACTAGTCCTCTCAGCCGAGGTGATGGGCGACGTGCCCTCCTCGGAACCCCCGGCTCCGGCTCCCGGCCGCTCCAAGTCCTCGCTGCCGCTGCCGTCGCTGGTCGAACTGTCCCTCGCGCCGCTGCCCGCGCCCTCGGGCTCCTTGGCGTCCGCCGCCTCCAGGCAGCAGCTCCGCAGTGGGTCCTCGAGCGGCGCGGCCCAGTCAGACAGGATGCCCGCGCCGTCCGCGCCCTCGTCGCCAGGCCCGTCCGGACCAAGGCGGCGGTGGCGCGGCTCCCGGCTGCCGACGCGGGCCAGGTCGCGAGTGTCCTGACCCAGCAGAAAGCCCGAGTCCCCGTTGGTCATGCCACCGTGTCGCGCCGAGCCAGCATCCACCGCCTCCGCGTCGCGGTGCTTGGAGCCGGCGTCCGGCTGGCAGGCGTCCGAGCGCGGGGCTGCCGAGGGCGGCGGACCACAAGAGTGGCCGGCGGGGAGCGGACAGTAGCACAGACCGGGCTCCAGCTGTGCCCCGGCCGCCGCGAGGTAACGCCGAAGGAGCTGCTGAGGCGGCGGCGTCTCCTCCTCCTCCTCCTCCTCCTCCTCCTCTTCGGGAGGCTCCACAGCGCCTACGCCTCCGCCAAAGCCGCCTGTGGCCCGAATCATTTTCCCGTTCAGGCCCGCGGAATCGGGCGCCGGCAAAGGGAGCAACTTGGGGTTTCTTGCCGAGCAGCCTCCGGCATCCTCCGGACCCACCATCTGGGGCCGGGTGAGCGCCGCCGGAGGAGGCAGTGGAAGGTCCCCAGCACAGGCTTGGCCGGGGAAGAGCCCTGAATGCTGGAGCCGCGGCGGCTACCGCCGCAACGTTCCCAGACCCACCCCTCCCTCCCGGGAATTCGGGCAGTTGCAGGAGGGCGGGCACGCGCCTGGGCTCGCGCACGCGCAAAAGTCAGACCGGTCAAGCTCCGACCTGGAGATTCCGCGAACCATAGAGACGGTAGCTAGAGAGACCCACTCCGTGACGCTGCGACCGGCAATCTGGGATCAGCCCTCTGGACAGTGGAGGCTGGTTGGCCCACTCCGAACAGGACGACCATTAGGGAAGCACGGGTATGCCTCCCTTAGCAAAAATTCACTTGATGTACTTATATCGGGCTTCTCTGGTGGCTCAGATGGTAAAGAATCCGCCTCCCAATACAGGAGACCTGGGTTCCATCCCTGAGTCAGGAAGATTCTCTGGAGAAGGAAATGGCAATCCTCTCCAGTATTCTTGCCTGGAGAATTCCATGGACAGAGGAAACGGGCAGGCTACAGTTCATGGAGTCACAAAGAGTTGGACACCAATGAGCGACTAACACAATTTATGGGAATAGAATACAGGATTTAGAATAAGTCCTTCCACCTCTTAGTTTATATCCACCGCTCCATCCCCACTATTCAGGGCTGTTTTCATCTCAAGTTAACACGCTTCCTTCTCCACTTCATCTTTCCCAATATTAGCAAAGTTATGTTTCCCATCTAGGACAATGTTTCATCACATCACTCTTATAGATTTACATTATCACTTGAGGAGATAGAAGTAGAGTCAGGCAGAGAGGGCTATTGAAATAATTGCAGCACCCCATGAAAATGGATTAAAATGGGGTGATAACCAATGAATAACCAAGAACTGTATTTAAGGTAGAAATCCCAAGATGTGATAACTGTTCAGACAGAAGGATTGAAGAGAGTGTTACCGGACATCACGAAGTCCGTGTGCCCAACAGATAGGCCAAAACAATGCTAAAATATTGGAGTTTGGATCAGAGAAACGTTTATTACAGCACCATGCAAGGAGATGGGCGGCTCATACCTTAACCCCAAAGTTACTGAAAGCTTTCTTCAAAGCACTTTATGGTTAGTTGCAACTTCTTGGTGTCAGAGCCTTTGTTCTTAAAGTCAGGTCATGGTCAGGTAACAATGTTCCTGTAAACCTCTACCAAACGAATGTTATTCTCTGTCCTGACAAGAAAGGGCAAGGTCCCAAGGTACAACTTTTAACCTCCAAGGTCCAGGTCCTGGCTAAGAGGAAGCAGAGCTCAGCTGGCGGTTCCCTCAGCATCAGGTTCCCCAGACCCTGACCAACTGTCATCACTGAGGGAGCCAGGCACCCAACTTATCTGGCCGTCAGGCTTCTCAGGTCACCCAAAGCGGGACACCACGTCCCACACACTGTGACCCAGGCCGACCACCACTACTATTAGGTCCCAGAGACAAGGATGGGGGAGAGGTTCACCGCTGCCTCAAGACCTGGGCCAAGGCTAGTGGAGGGCCTTGATGAGGGCTCTGAAGTCCTCCAGAACATAGCCCCAAGCCTTTTCTCTTGGTGCCCAAGCTCACTCACTGACCAAAGGCCAAATGAACTGGAGGGCCCCAGGGAGAAGGCCAGGATCCACCTTTTACCTCACTCTTCCCCCACGCACTGTTGGCTGAATCCCCTCACTAACTGTCCTTAACAGCTGGTTGCTTGTGGGTGGGGCCCACTGCTGAGCTGTCCAATATCTGAGAAGGGTCATCGGGGTTGCTCATTGACAATTGGTTGCCAGTGGGTGGGGGACCTCTGACGACTGGACCAACGGATGAGCAGGACCCATTTCCTGGTAACAGGGTGCTGAGTAATGGCACACAGCAATTCAGTTCAGTTCACTCACTCAGTCGTGTCTGACTCTTTGCTACCCCATGAACCACAGCACACCAGGCCTCCCTGTCCATCACCAACTCCCAGAGTNTCATCAAGAGGCTCTTTAGTTCTTCTTCACTTTCTGCCATAAGGGTGGTGTCATCTGCATAGCTGAGGCTGCTGTGCTAAAAGCTGAGCTCACTGCACTCTGTTACAGGAGGAACCAGCAAATCACTACAAAACTCTTGAGAATGAAGCTGATGTGGTTTGCAAAAATAGTTGTGGATTGGAAAGAACTTGATTAATAGGGGAAATATAGCTGGGAAAGTAAAATATCCAGCATTGAGAGTTCTAAAACTTCGGTTAGGGCTTCAGTTTAAAGAGGCAGATTGAAGAGGTATTTGCATAATACAACTAGGTGAGTCACTGGTAACTTCACCTGGGAAGAAAGACTAAAGATGAATGTGGGGCAGAGACTCAAAGGTGTCTCAAAAATTATTTAAGGGTGGACAAAGAAATCATATTGCAAGGGACTAAAGAGACACTTGTTGTGGACAAAATGAAGTGGCAGATATAGACCACTCATTCTAGAAGTATGTCAATGAAAGGATAGCAGTAGGAGAATGGAGAATTAGAGGAAGCAGCATTGTCAAGCCTTTAAAAAAAGATACATACTCACAAAAAAGTGAATATAACCTATATATAAGTAATAAAATGCATAAATAAAATGGCTATCCATGTGCCTAGCACCCAGTTTAAGAAACATCATGTCTTTTATAGTGAGCATTTCTCAAGGTCCTAAGTAAAGTGCCAAGGGCATAGTTGGCAATACATTGTTTTTTGTTTTTTTTTTCCTTTTTTGACTGAGAGTCCAAATCTTAGTGCAGGATCTTAGTTCCCTGACCAAGGATTGAACCCTTGCCCCCTGCAGTGGAAACATGAGAGTCTTAACCACTGGTCTACCAGGGAAGTCCCTAGCAATAAACTTATTATCAAGATTTTTCAGAAGAAGAAATGACCTCCAAGATACAGGTGGAAAAGTTAATATAGGAAGACAGAAAATATTTGTAATTCATATATCTGATAAAGGCCCAGTATCCAGAATATATGAAGAACTGAATTACAAGAAGCCCAATTTACAAATGAGTAAAGGAGTTGAACAGATATTTCTCTGAAGAAGATATGCTAATAGCTGTTAATAAGCATATAAAATGATGGTCACCATAATCTCTAGGGATATGCAAATCAAAACCTCAAAGATAGCACTCACACCCACTGTGCTGGGCTGTGCTTTGTCACTCAGTTGTGTCCAACTCTGTGGCTCCATGGACTGTAGCCCTCCAGGCTCCTCTGTCCGTTGGGATTCTCCAGGCAAGAATACAGGAGTGGGTTGCCATGCTTCTTCCAGGGGATCTTCCTGACCCAGGGATCGAACCCAAGTCTCTTATGTCTCCTACACTGGCAGACAGGTTCTTTACCACTAAGCAGTTCTTTACCACTAAGCAATTCTACTCCTAGGTATATACCCCAAAGAATTGAAAACAGATGCTCAAACAAAACCTTGTACGTGAATGTTTAGAGCTGCACTATTCATAAAAACCAAAAGATGGAAGCAACCCAAATGTCCCATCAGTAGAGGACTTGGTAAACAGAATGTGACATATACACACAGTGGACTATTATTCAGCCATAAAAAGGAATTAAGTATTGATAATGCTACAAAGTAAATGAATATCAAAAAAATATTAAGCTAAGCGAAAGAAGCTTGACACAAAAGATCACATGTTGTGTAATTCCATTTATATGAACTGTCCAGAACAGGTAAATCCATAGAGAAAGCAGATTGGTGATTGTCAATGGCTGGGACAGGGGAAAAATAGGGCAGGAATGTCTTATAGATAAAGGGTTTTCCTTTGGGGGTGATGAACATGTTTTGGAACCTGATACAGGTGGTTGTTGCACGACATTGTGAATGTACTAAATGCTACTGAATTGCACATTTTTAAATGGCTTTACTTTATGTGAATTTCACCTCAATAAAAAAGTTAATGTAGGAGATATCTAGACATAAGTATAGTTGTACAGTAAAATGGTAAAGATAAGGGTAGCTAAGAGAATTTAATTTCAATCTTTTCTCTTTTCATCTTTTTTCTTCTCTTCCTAGAGAATTTATCTCTGCAATTTTCTTCCTGCTGTCAAACTTCCCTAACTTGTTATTTTTTCTAGCAACCACTCTACTTCTCCCTCTATGAACATCATACTATTTTTAAAATCAAGTTTCTTCAAGTTGTTTATTTAGCTCATTTCCTTCCTTCCTCATGGTCAATACAAGAAGCTTTTATGAACCATAATAGCCCATACAACCCTTCTGTTTTCTCATTGCAGACTTCAAAATTGACACACATTTATATTTTGTAACTGTCTACAATAATAGTACTGCATAATTAATAACATTAGTAATTCTTGTTAGTGATTAGTGGTTATACTTCCCACTTTCAACAATAAAATTTTGTCTTATCTGATAAGTAATATCATAAGCTATCTTACAAAGAAGTACAAAATCTACTTTCAAGGTGTAGCATATTCTTTTTTGTGGTCATTAAGTGTTGACATAGAACTTTTGACACCACTACATTACATTACACACACTACATTACTACATTACTACCACTCTAGGCATAAATAATACATCCTTGAACATTCCTATAAATCTGATGAAATCATTATGATGAGAAAGGATATTCTCAATCTCTGCCATAAAATATTACCCTAGTTAAAATATGAAGCTCCAATACTTTGGTCACCTGATGCGAACAGCCAACTCATTGGAAAAGACCCTGATTATGGGAAAGATTGAAAGCAGAAGGAGAAGAGGGCAACAGAGGAAGAGATGGCTGGATGGTATCACCGATGCAGTGGACGTGAACTTGGGCAAACTCTGAGAGATGATGAGGGCCAGGGAGGCCTGGCGTGCTGTAGTCCATGGGGTCGCAAAGAACTGGACATGCATGACTGGGTGACTAAACAACATGAAACGAAATATGAAAAACTACTGGTATACTTGGATTCTTATATTTCCAGGAAAATTTGACTTTCACAGAAATTTTTGAAATATATAATTAGTCATATTCTATGTGTGACCCAATCTTCATTATTGAAGGGTGAAGTATGGTACCGTTATCCAATATTATTATTTTGCTATAATTATACTCAAGGAG